ATGCAAGGAATGCTAAAGGGACTGGTATAAAAATAAGAAATAAAAAGCTCAGAAAGAAAACAGCCACACAAAAACAGAAATGCCTACAAACAAGTACCTTTCAATAATAACTTTAAACGTAAACGGACTAAATGCTCCAAACAAAAGACATCGAGTGGCTGAATGGATAAAAAAACATGACCCATACATCTGCTGTCTACAAGAAACCCACCTCATTAGAAGGGACTCACACAGACTGAAAGTGAAAGGATGGAAAAATATCTTTCAGGCAAATGGAAAGGAAAAGAAAGCTGGGGTAGCAATACTTATATCGGACAAAATAGACCTCAAAGTGAAGGCCATAACAAGAGATAAGGAAGGCCACTTCATAATACTAAAGGGATCAATACAACAAGAAGATATAATCCTGGTAAACATATATGCACCCAATGCAGGAGCGCCCAAATTCATAAAAAAACTCCTGGAAGATATCAAAGGAGACATCGACAACAATACAATCATAGTAGGGGACTTTAATACACCACTGACAGCACTGGATAAGTCCTCTAGACAAATAATCAGCAAAGATATAGCAATCCTAAATGACTCACTAGATCAGATGGACTTAATAGACATCTTCAGAACACTTCACCCGAAAGCCAGGGAATATACATTCTACTCAAATGCTCATAGGACATATTCAAAAATAGACCATATATTGGGTCACAAGCAAAGTATCCCCAAATTCAAGAAAATTGAAATCATAAAAAGCGTCTTCGCAGACCACGATGGCATAATATTAGAAATAAACTACAATAAAAACAACCCAAAATACTCAAACACCTGGAAGCTGAATAGCATGCTATTAAATATTGATTGGGTTACCAATGAAATCAAAGAAGAAATTCGAAACATCCTGGAAACTAATGACAATGAAAACACAACAATCCAAAACCTATGGGACACAATGAAAGCAGTCCTGAGAGGGAAGTTTATAGCTCTACAGGCCTATCTCAACAAACAAGAAAAAATGGTAGTAAATCATCTAATTCTACAACTCAAAGAATTAGAAAGAGAGCAACAAGAAAAACCCAGAGTGAGCAGAAGGAAGGAGATAATAAAGATTAGAGCAGAAATAAATGACATAGAGACCAAAAAAACAATACAGAAAATCAATGAAACCAAGAGCTGGTTCTTTGAAAGGATAAACAAGATTGACAAACCTCTAGCCAGACTCACCAAGAAGCAAAGAGAGAGGACCCAAATAAACAAAATCAGAAACGATAGAGGCGAAATAACAACAGACCCCACAGAAATACAAATGATTGTTAAAAAATACTATGGACAGCTCTACTCCAACAAACTAGACAACCTGGAGGAAATGGACAAATTCCTAGAAAAATACAACATTCCAAAACTCAATCAGGAAGAATCTAAAAATCTCAACAGGCCAATAACTATGGAAGAAATTGAAGCAGTCATCAAAAAGCTTCCAGCAAACAAAAGCCCAGGACCAGACGGCTTCACAGGGGAGTTTTACCAAACATTCAAGGAAGAACTAAAACCTATCCTCCTCAGACTACTACAAAAAATTCAAGAGGAAGGAACACTTCCAAGCTCATTCTATGAAGCCAGCATCACCCTAATACCAAAACCAGGTAAAGACAACACAATGAAAGAGAATTACAGGCCAATATCCCTCATGAACATAGATGCCAAAATCCTCAACAAAATCTTAGCAAATCGGATCCAGCAGTACATCAGAAAGATCATACACCATGACCAAGTAGGATTTATCCCAGGGATGCAAGGATGGTACAATATCCGCAAATCAATAAACGTGATACATCACATAAACAAATTGAAAGAAAAAAACCACATGGTCATATCAATTGATGCAGAAAAAGCATTTGACAAAATTCAACACCCATTTTTGATAAAAGCTCTCAGCAAGGTGGGAGTAGAAGGATCATACCTCAACATAATAAAAGCCATATATGACAGGCCCACAGCCAACATCATACTCAATGGACAAAAACTAACACCATTTCCCCTAAGAACAGGAACAAGACAGGGATGCCCCCTCTCACCACTCCTGTTCAACATAGTACTGGAAGTGTTAGCCATTGCAATTCGGCAAGAAGAAGAAATAAAAGGCATCCAAATTGGAAAAGAGGAAGTAAAACTGTCCTTATTTGCAGACGACATGATATTATACATACAAAACCCTAGAGACTCCATCAAAAAGCTACTGGACTTAATACATGAATTTGGCAATGTAGCAGGATACAAAATTAACCCCAAGAAATCCGAGGCATTTCTATACACCAATAGTGAACTTTCAGAAAGAGAGATTATAAAAACAATCCCGTTTACCATCGCACCAAAAAAATTAAGCTACCTAGGAATAAACTTAACTAAAGAGGTAAAAGACCTCTACTCAGAAAACTACAGGACGTTGAAAAAAGATATAGAGGAAGACATAAACAGATGGAAGAACATACCGTGTTCATGGATTGGTAGAATCAACATCATTAAAATGTCCATACTACCCAAAGCAATCTATAAATTCAACGCACTTCCCATTAAAATACCAACGGCATACTTCAGAGATCTAGAACGAACTCTCCAAAAATTCATCTGGAATAAAAAAAGACCTCGAATAGCTGCAGCAATCCTGAAAAAGACCAAAGTAGGTGGGATCTCAATACCAGATATCAAGATGTATTACAAAGCCACTGTTCTCAAAACTGCCTGGTACTGGCACAAGAATAGGCATATAGATCAATGGAATAGAATAGAGAGCCCAGAAATCGGCCCGAACCAATATGCTCAATTAATATTTGACAAAGGAGGCAAGAACATACAATGGAGCCAAGATAGTCTCTTCAATAAATGGTGCTGGGAAAATTGGACAGATATATGCAAGAAAATGAAACTAGACCACCAACTTACACCATACACAAAAATAAACTCAAAATGGATAAAGGACTTAAATGTACGACAGGAAACTATAAAAATTCTAGAAGAATCCAAAGGCAACAAAATCTCAGACATATGCCGAAGCAATTTCTTCACTGATACAGCTCCTAGGGCACTTGAAACTAAAGAGAAAATGAACAAATGGGACTACATCAAAATAAAAAGCTTCTGCACAGCAAAAGAAACCATCAACAAAACAACGAGAAAACCCACTGTGTGGGAAAACATATTTGCCAATGTCATATCCGATAAGGGCCTAATCTCCAAAATTTATAGGGAACTCATACAACTTAACAAAAGGAAGATAAACAATCCAATCAAAAAATGGGCAAAGGACCTAAATAGACACCTTTCAAAAGAGGACATTCAGAAAGCCAAGAGACATATGAAAACATGCTCAAAGTCACTAATCATCCGAGAGATGCAAATCAAAACAACAATGAGGTACCATCTCACACCTGTCAGACTGGCTATCATCAACAAATCAACAAACGACAAGTGCTGGAGAGGATGTGGAGAAAAAGGAACACTTGTGCACTGCTGGTGGGAATGCAGACTGGTGCAGCCACTATGGAAGACAGTATGGAGTTTCCTTAAAAAACTGAAAATGGAACTCCCATTTGACCCTGTGATCCCACTTCTAGGAATATATCCCAAGAAACCAGAAACACCAATCAGAAAGGATATATGCACCCCTATGTTCATAGCAGCACAATTCACCATAGCTAAGATCTGGAAACAGCCTAAGTGCCCATCAGTAGATGAATGGATTAGAAAACTGTGGTACATCTACACGATGGAATACTATGCTGCTCTAAAAAGGAAGGAACTCTTACCATTTGCAACGTCATGGATGGAACTGGAGAGCATTATGCTAAGTGAAATAAGCCAGTCAATGAAGGAAAAATACCACATGATCTCACTCATTCATGGATAATAGAGACCATTATAAACTTTTGAACAATAATAGATACAGAGGCAGAGCTGCCTCAAACAGATTGTCAAACTGCAGCAGGAAGGCCGGGGAGGGTTGCGGGGCAGGAGGTAGGGGGGTAAGAGATCAACTAAAGGACTTGTATGCATGCATAGAAGCATAACCAGTGGACATAAGACATTGGGGGATAGGGGAGGCTAGGGGATTGTCTAGGGCGGGGGGATAAAATGGACACATATGTAATACCCTTTGTAATACTTTAAGCAATAAAAAAAAAAAAAAAAAAAAAAAAAGAATAGAATGAAGTTGAGGACAGTACTCGGGACATGGCAAAAGTAGTCAGATACGCCCTTACTGTTAAAAAACTAATCTAACTGGAAAAAAGATAACAAACAATTCACTTAATTTAGTATTCAGTTCAGAACTCAGTGAACCTTCAGCCCATTACAGTTACTATAACAACTAACCTTCATAGAGGACTTACTGTACATGAGGTACTGTTTTAAGTTATTACATGTATTAACTCCTTGAATTCTCACAACAGCTCCGGAAGATGGTGGTTATTACCCCTATATTAAAGCTAAGGACTTGCCCAAGGATGTTGATTGATTGGAGAGGAAAAGACAAAGAATTTGTTTTAAATATGTTGGATTTAAGATGACAGTTTGATATCTAAGTGGAAATAAGAGAGGGTTGGTGATGGGGATCTGAAGTTGACTCAGAAGATAGGACTCTGCAGAAGTTATGGCAGAAATGTAAGAACAGTTGTGTTCTTAGAAGAAGAAAGAAGAGAGAGGAGCACAGGACCCTACATTGAAATTAGGAGTTTGCTTACCTTTAAGGACCAGAGGGAAGAATAAGTGCCAACAAAGGAAAAGAGTGAAGCGAGGTAGTGGGTTAAACATGGTTTCTCCAATGGCATTCCAATGTCTCATACTAATACAGGAAGGTCTGAGGTGGACAATTTACAAAAGTTAAGTTTCACTAAATTAGAAAAATCACCATGCCATACAGCTTAGCCCCGTGTTTTACATGGATACTAAACAGATGTTGAATGAATGAATGAATGAATAAACTGTAGGACATTTCTAAGATATTAACTTACCTTGTATATGTGCAGGTTTTTAGGAAAGATCACAAACTTTATAGTTAGTTGTTTTCCAGGACGATTTTGGGCAAACTTTAAAACTTCCTCACACATAATCTGTGCTACTTTACTGTCCTCAATACCAATGCCTCCAGCCCCAAGAGCAGGAAAGGAAATGGAAGTCAGATTTAGTTTAAGGCATTTTTGCAAACACTCGTTCACTGCACGTTTCAATATCTGTAGAAAAAAACACAAATTTAAGATCAGCCTTCAAGTCAAAAATAAGATTTCACTTACCCCTTGATCCTGCCCATATTTAACAATGTTAATCTCCACTCTCCCTCAGGGTCATGTCCATGCCTCCTCAGAGGGCAAAGTCCCACTCCATAGGGAACCCATTACAGCTATAAGGTTAAATGATGAAAAATGAAAAGGCTGAATAAGCTGAATTGGTCCTTTTTGTGCTATTCAGGACTTTGGGCACCATGATTTCTCCCAGCTTATGTAGTCTTGTTGACCTGCCCAGGTCAGAGAGCCAATCATCAGTTTATCCCCACTCATCTGTCACTACCAGGTCAACATAAAGAGCTCTTGGGAGTTTAATAAAGGAGGCAGAGGTTAAAAGGAATAAGCAGCATTTATTCAAAGTCTTTTAAGGTCTGCCATGTATTTCTCCTTGAGAAGTACTAGTATATTTGGCAGATTTAAACTTTCTATCAATGTTTCAACATCCAAATGAATACTAATACAGGAAGGTTGTCCATGTAAGGACCTTAGAAAACTGAGAAATAGAGATGATAGGGATTACAGGGCCCTCTAGCTAAGAAAGAACCGGAAATGGTGACAAAACAGATAGACAAAGGCAGGTGGGAAGACACCACAGGGAATAGATCTGACAAGAATGGTGCTAGAAGGGAAATCCAGGTCCTCCTGGAACTTAACAGTTGGAAGGAAACATAGAGAGGCCGACTCCCAGGCCCACTTAGGAAAAGGCCTACAGGGTACAGTGTGGTGAGGTGAATAGGTGTGCAGAGGGATGTTTCTGTGCCTATCTGCGGTAAACCCATTTAAAATTTAGACATGTGTTAGGTTATATTTTAGATTAAACTTCTTAAGATAACTTATTAAGACAACAACAGCCCTAGCCGATTTGGCTCAGTGGATAGAGCGTTGGCCTGTGGACTGAAGGGTTCTGGGTTCGATTCTGGTCAAGGCACATACCTAGGTTGCAGGCTTGATCCCTGGCCCTGGTTAGGGTGCGTGTGGGAGGCAACCAATTGATGTGTCTCTCTCACATCAATGTTTCTTTCTCCCTGTCTCTTCCCCTCCCTTCCACTCTTTCTAAAAAAAATCAATGGAAAAATATCCTCGGGTGAGAATTAACAACAACAACAAAAAAGACAACAAAAGTTATTCAGTATTTCAAATTTTCACAGGAGTAGTAGAAAATGGGGATTATACAACCTGATAATATTTCATTAATGTAATAGTATGATGGAAATTCAACAAAGACTACACAGACTGTCAAGTTACATAAAGATAAATTTATTTTGAGCTTACCAGATCTCGGTCAGTATATGTTGGAAGCCACAACACATGGAATACATACTGACAGGACAATTTAAATCCTTTTGTCCACACTACCAACTGGGAATCCTGAGATTTCCGCTTCCTGTTTTTGTGAAATTCCTCTTCTATTTCATGTCCTGCTTGTTGTAGAATTGACTTCGACACAGGACCAGCTTCAAAATTAAAAGGTGAACTTACAGAATTAACAATTACATCTGTCTGCAAAGGGAAAAAATGGACAGGATTCCTTTTTAAATTACTTTTTGTTCAATTACTAATTTAAGTCTTTATTTCCCTGAAGAGCTTTGAAAAATACTTCTGAAGATCCTAAGTCCACAAAAATATCATTTAATAATGGATAGAAACTCATATTTCCAAAATGTGATCATTTGATTAGTCTGTTTATCCTATTCAGTAATTAGGCAAAGTGTGTGGATGGTACAATTTTTATTGCAAACATCTATCATTCCCTTCCTGGCTTATCCCTCCCATATTCCCAGATTCTGAACATTCCCTGTGATTTATTTTAAGCTTTATCAATGAATGGTTTCATTCCTTGCCCCACTGTCATCTCTTTTTGCTATTTTTGTGTGAATTTTCTGTTTTGTTTTAAACAGAGTGGAAATAAAATTTCTCAGGAAATTTTCACCTCCTATTTTGTTTAAAGGTGAGTAGTACATAGTTAAAAAAAGTACAAATGAGATAAAAGTCTTCAGTGAAAAGGAGGCCTCCATCTTGGTGGGGTCCCCCTATCCCCCACTCACCCACCTATCCTACAGGCAATCACTTTATCAGTTTTTCATCTGTCCTTTCAGAAATAGACTGTAGAGCCTGGCTAGTGTGGCTCAGTGGTTGAGCGTCAACCTATGAACCAGGAGGCCACGGTCTGATTCTCGGTCAGGCCACATGCCCGGGTTGCGGACTCCATCCCTAGTGTGGGGCATACAGGAGGTAGCTAATCAATGGTTCTTTCTCATCATTGAAATGTCTATCTCTCCCTCTCTCTTCCTCTCTGTTAAAAAAAAGAGACTGTATATTCACCTGGGCTGTATTTTAAGTAATATTACCTAGTTAACTCTAAGAACTGTGCTAACAGGGTTGTATCCTTTTTCTCCCTCATGCCCAAGTCCCCCTAAATAATCTTGATGGTTTTGGCTCCCTTTGGGGGTAACTTATGTATTTCTCATAGATGTTAATGAACGCTTCACTTTGAAAGTACAACCAGAATTTGCAATTTGGGGGTACTGGGGGTACTGCTTCCTTTTTAAATTTTAAGGTTCCTAATGTTTTTGGCAATAAATAAATACAATAAAATTTTAGTTAAATGAAAAGTTACTTAACAAGGATGTTTCCACTTTAATTTTAAATGGACATATTAATGATATCAAATAAATACAGTGGAACCTCAGTTCTTGAACTTAATTCATTCCAGAAGACTGTTCAAGAAGCAGTTTGAAAACGGAATCATTTTTCCCAATAGAAATAATGTAAATTAAATTAATCTGTTCCAGACCCCCAAATGATTTCCTGTTTCTTATATACAGTATATGTCTAAGCTCTATTGTTGTTCTCACTACTTTCTTTTTATTTTGCTGCTATCACTAACTTTCTTAGAACCCATGAGATTTACTGTACATATCCTATATATGAAAAAGCTAATATGCAAATCAATCCAACAGCAGAACAACCAGTCGCCATGATATGCACTGGCCACCAGGGGACAGATGCTCAACACAGGAGCTGCTCCCTGTTGGTCAGTGTGCTCCCACAGGGGGGAGCGCTGCTCAGCCAGAAGCCAGGCTCACGGCTGGAGAGTGCAGCAGAGGTGGTGGGAGCCTCTCCCGCCTCTGCAGCAGCGCTAAGGATGTCCGACTGACATCCTCAGGGACATCCCCTGAGGGCTCACAATCTGTGAGAGGGCTTAGGCTGGGCTGATGAGGAACAACCCCCCCCCCCACACACACAGAATTTCGTGCACCAGGCCTCTAGCTTAATAAGCAGCAACAACAAAAAAAACACGAAATAATGACAGTACAATTTCCTGAGATGTTAATAACTCAAGGTTTAGCAGCAAACTGACTCATACTCATGCAATCTCTTCTTTGTTTGTCACCTGAGAGATGTGTGACTGATCATACATGTATCAGCATGAGAGAGTTCTAGAACCTAAGTTCTGTTTGACAACCAAGACATTTTTCATGAACAACTTGTTCTAGAACCGAACTGTTCAAGAACCGAGGTTTGACTGTATCGCATTTTGTGGGGAACCCCTCAATCTTCATTCTAACTGTCTTGCAGGCAGTATATGGTATTTTTTTCATGTATGATTAAGTCTATTTGATTGCAGCCACAGGGGTCTTAAGTGTGACATTGTTGATCCAGAAAAGAAAAATAATTCTCTGTTGCAGTTCCTGCTACCTGCTTCCTCTTTCACTTATTCATCAATAATTTGCTCAACACCTAGAAGCAGGCCCAGACTAGGCTTTGGGGTTACAGAGATGAACAGCCATGATCCCCATCCTCAACATACTCTATGCCTAACAGGGGCGCTGCACTAACCCAGAAATACTTAAATTCATTGTCACCCTGACTCCCTCCCCTTCCTGCCAGAGCCTTCTCCTTTGTGCCCAAGGAATCCTGGCTAAATGCTAAGTCACACTTTGTATCATTCATGGCCCCTGGCACAGAGCCATATACTCAGAATACAACTTATAGCTCCACCTGGTCCAGCCCATTATTTTCTATCTATCATTCTCCGTGTCTCTCTAATCAAGTCATTCTAACAACCAGGCCACACTTCCTGCCAATTCATATCTATCATAACTTGAGATCAGATCCAAAACACACATCTTCTGAAGTAATCTTTCTTGGTTCACCACACTCTTGTCACAAAATTGACATACTCTTAAATATTGTGAATTCATTGTATTAATGAATACATTGTTTACTATTGGTAGGTTGCTTCAGAAATGTTCAGATGGTTTGTTTCCCAATGAGATTTTTCAAATAGAGAATTTTCTAACATAAAAAGAGTATAACAGATTATAAGTTCCTTGGAATCAAAGATTGTTTTATTTCCTCATGGTGCCTAAGAATAATAGCAATAATAGTTATAAATACTTGTCATGTGCCAAAATTGATTCTAAGCATTTTATGTGTATTAATTCCAACTCTAAGATATGTCTTATTATTATCATCATTTTCCAGGTGAGGAAACTGAGGGCCCAAAGATAAAGTAACTAGATTCATGTCACCCTGCTAGTAAATGGCACAGCTAGTATTCAAATCCAGATGGCCTGTCCCTAAAGTCCATACTCTTAACTTAACGAGATTAAACAGTGTTTGAAATAGTTTATACTCAAAACGTACTTGAGCCGAAACCGGTTTGGCTCAGTGGATAGAGCGTCGGCTTGCGGACTGAAAGGTCCCAGGTTCGATTCCGGTCAAGGGCATGTACCTGGGTTGCGGGCATATCCCCAGTGGGAGATGTGCAGGAGGCAGCTGATCGATGTTTCTTGCTCATCGATGTTTCTGACTCTCTATCTCTCTCTCCCTTCCTCTCTTTAAAAAATCAATAAAATATATTTAAAAAAAAAACAAAAAAAAAAAACACGTACTTGATAGGTAATAAACAGTTCAGGGATGCCCTTTGGCAGTGCAAGAGAATAGGAACAAAGACTTACCTGCTGCAGTTCAATGTGGCCTTGGACAATCTGGAGAGTCATGCTGTTCACAACCACTGTATTGGAAGGAAGGATGGCTCCCTGACTCACAACCATCGTATTGGAAGGAAGGATGGCTCCCTGACTCACTGAGGACCCCAGCTCGTTACTCCCTAGAATGTCTTCCGAAGCAGTTTTAAAGGCAACAACAGTGGGGTCCTCATTGCTTACCAGATGAATTTCTTTTAAATGACTGGCCGGTCGCTTCCCTTGGAAATAAAGCCTGATAGTTCCCACAATGATCCGTGTACACAAATCCAGAGGGAACTGGAAAATCCCAGAGCTCAGGGCTGGAATTGCTACTGTCTCCAGGTTTGGAAAGCCATGGGTGACACAATTGAGAATATTTACCATGGCATTTTCCAGATCAGCTTGACATCTCCCTCTCTCCCACGCCACCCACCGAGGCCCAACGGCATGGATAATGTGTTTGCAGGGAAGTTTCCCTGGTCCTGTGACAGCTGTCCCACCAGTTTGTATTTTACCATGTGTGGAAATATACCAATCACTCTCCTCTTGGATTTCTTGGCCGCCAGCTTTCACCAGGGCCTGCGCCAGGCCTCCTCCATGTCTAAGTTCTTCATTGGCTGCATTCACCACAATATCAACAGCATGTCTGGTGAGATCACCCTTCCAGACAGATAGCTCTAGTCGTGGAGTCAGTTTTTTTCTGAAGACTTGCCGAGACTCACTGTTACTTTCCTGGGCTGGAGAGACGAGGGTAGAGACACAGCCAAATTTATTCCGGAGGACTTCACACAGCTGACTCTCATTATTTTTTAAAATTTTGAAGTCATTGTGACTAATGGGTATTTGCCAACTATCGTTTTCTCCAAGGATGTCAGTCTCTGGAAAAGGAGAGATTAAAAAAAAAAATCAAGAAATGGGCAAGAGTTCCTTTGAAAAGAATGTAATTCCACTTCACATCAGAAAGCTGAGTGTCCCATATACAAAAGAGAGATGAACTCCCTCTACTCCTCTTCCTGATTCTCTTTCTCACGTAGCTATGTAATTAGACCAAGAATGTCCAAGAGTTTTCAATGGTAAATCATCCATAAAGTACTTAGTCTTGTGTCTGGCATACAGTAAATACTCCATGAGTGGTAGCTATGCTACCTTGATACAATGATGGTGGTAAGAAAACTATGCGAATGGAGGCGCATGAATTTTTAAGTCTGCATTAAAATGGTGAGTTTGGGAAGAACCATGCTTAAGGCACAAATATTGGAAAGGATTTAATTATGAGTCAAAAATACGTGGAGGCTTTATTGGTAACTTGTTTGCTTGGTCTCAGTGCCTTAGTCTGGGCTCTCTTAGGAGCAGGCCCTGAGATAAGGATTTGAATGTAAGTTTATTTGGGAGTTGATCTTATAAAATACCAGGGGCATGAGATGGGAGGGCAGAGTGGGAAAGTAAGACAGAAAAGGGAAGGAAATGAACGAAGGATGTGTTATGAAGCAAATTAAGCATAATTCCACTGGGGGACAGTGTGTCTCAGAGTAATACCACCAGAAGGGAAAGGAGCTGGGATATTCATCCAACCTCCTATCAGTCATTGGTCAAGGATGCTCTGTGGGGGGCATGGTCCAGCAAACGGGCGGAACATCATACTCTAGTTTCATGGAACAATTTTGGTGGAATTAAGGCCGATTGACTAAAAATTACTTACTGTATGTGGCAGGAAAGAAGCTGTGCTGTTCAGATCCCCGTTCAATGTGGTGATGAAGGAGGGAATACAGTTAGCTGACAGCCTCCAGTTGTTAGCCCCTCAGGGTCCATCTTGGCTTTCCAGCCAGGGTCACACTATTCTCAGGGTGGCCCCCATCAGTGGCTGACCAAGGCCACTTATGTCCAATGTGGGTCTCCCCTAAAGGGAAAGCTCAGGCTGCAGTCTGATGGCTCCACCTGCCCAATCTGGTTTCATCTCTTCTCCGTTTTCTGCATTCCTAACTCCATCTCAGTTTCTGCTTCTATGAGAACCTAACCTGTGACTGTATTTCATGGAATCTAAGACATCATTATTAAATGCCACTGAGCAAGGAAAAACAATGCCAATTAAAACATGGCACATTACTGGTTGATAGAGTAGTTTTAACTTAACAGATGTGAAAAACTGTGTGTCCTAAAATAGGTAAAATGTGGTAATTAATTATATTTTACTTCAACCATATTTCTTTTTTTTTAATTTTTTTAAGTCTGGGAAGTCTGTGAAGATGATTTTAGCACTTTTTTTAAAAAAATATATTTAATTGATTTTTAACAGAGAGGAAGGGAGAGGGATAGAGAGTTAGAAACATCGATGAGAGAGAAACATCTATCAGCTGCCTCCTGCACACTCCCCACTGGGGATGTGCCTGCAACCAAGGTACATGCCCTTGACCAGAATCGAACCCGGGACCCTTGAGTCTGCAGGCCGATGCTCTATCCACTAAGCCAAACCGGTTAAGGCTTCAACCATATTTCTAATCTCAGCCACCTAGAAAGACCTCTGATGGCTTCAATTATCCAAAAGCAGCAGCATGCATATACGCATAACCCATGGACACAGACAATAGTGTGGGGTGGGGCAAGGGCTGGGTGGAGGGGGGCAAAAGGGAAACACCTGTATTACTGTTAACTATTTTAAAAAATAAAAAGATAAATAAATAAATAAATGAAGTAGCATGCAGCAGCCAGATTCAATTGGCCTGTGCTTTGGTAGAAAATCTCAAGTGGGCCACCCTTAAGATTAGGAAGGTTCCATTTGGCTCTTACAGCCCTTGTTGAGCCAGGGACGATCAGTTGGTCACCTCTTCTGATCAATTTTTAGGGCTGTGGGCAGAAGAGTCTGACATCTTGTGGGCAAAGAAAGGGATCAATGGGAGCCCTAAGAGAACATATCTGCTGATGCACACTGCCCCTGAAGCAGTACCCCTTCTGATGCACAGTCCAGGTTGCCACAGGTCCTGCAATTACACACCTGAACACTTGCAGGGAAGACAGTCTCCTTCTGCATTCCCCTTTATCCACTGAGGACATATATGAGTAAAGGCTTTCTGAAACAAGTCTGACAGTGAGGTGATCCTACCTGATTTCTCATTGTAAGCTGCTGCTCCAGCACCCTGTGAAAAATGAGAATGGTTTTAAAAAAACTGAAACCGAATGACTACAGATTACTGATAACAGATACAGCCTAATAATCACAAATCAACAGATACTCTGCTAAAAGCCCTGGGTTTGAGGGGAAGGGGAACACCTACGTGTCTGTTCATTAGTTTAATCTGTGCGCCTGAAATACTTGAAATACTAAATGTCCTAGCAAACATTAACCCTACCCCACTTCCTAGAGGCCAATCAATGCACTTCTGATTCAGGATCAGATTAACACACGCAAAGGCCCAAAGGTCACAGCCCAAATTACCAAAACTTTCAGACAGGCCTCCAATTTCCAAAGGCTTGTGGGTTTTTCTAGACAGAACAGAATACATGGGGATATGAGCCTCATCAGCTACACCTCCCCATCTACCAGTAAGGGACCACTTTCAATTGTTTATTTCATGACACAAGCCTGAATGTAGAATTTTATGGTTGAACAAATGAGGTATCTTTTCTCTATTTCTTTGTTTTTCTTCTTCCTCCATAATCCTCCTCCCTCCCTCCCCCCATCCAGCAAAAGCAGAATTGCTGAATAAGTAGACAGAATCAAAATGATATTGAGGTCCATTTTTACATATTATCCATCCTCAGGCTGCCTCTGGTGATTAGATTAGCATATTCTGGATTCCCTGTGTCTCACATGGTACAAGGAGAAACTTTAATTGGGCAATTGATACCAAACTGAAGATCCAGATTTCTTGCTATTATGGAACTAGTCATGTGCTGATCAAAGTTCAAGATTCATCTATGTTTATATATAAGTACTTTTACCTTAGAAAGCTCCATCCTCTAGGACCCTAGGGTCTTCAAATGTTTGTACCCTTCAAATGTTTTGCTTTTCCAAGCATAGACTGCTGTTCCCAAATATCGTGGTCCACTTCTAGGAATGAATACAAAGGATGCAATAAGCACAGACCCGAGTCTTAGGGAATTTGGTAAGAGTGCACCATAGGAAAACTAAACATGATGATTTCTGGTCATGAGTAGGTTTTAGTTTTACTAGTGACAAGGCACTATTGTTTTGCTGCCATAGTTACTGTTTACCTTCTATTTTTTATCATGAGGTTCCAATTGAAACCATAATGGCAGTTCAGGGAAGGGAAAGAGACATACGGGCTACAGCAGGGAGAGCTTTATGGAGGTGAGACTAGAACAAGAGCTTGAAGGGTGGAACAGGTTTTTACAATTAGAAGAGGAGAATGATACCAAGTCGTAAGACTGAGCACAGCATTAAAAAAAAAACAATGAGGAAAAACCAGCCTTCTGCGTGAACATGAAGAACCCTGGAGAGTGTTTGAAGGAAGGGCTGTAGTTATGCCTGTCAAGGGTGTGTGTACTGAATTTGTGATAAATTCTTGATCTAATAAGAAAGGGAAGCCCTGACCGGTTTGGCTCAGTGGACAGAGCGTCAGTCTGTGGAATGAAGGGTCCCGGGTTCGATTCCGGTCAAGGGCATGTACTTTGGTTGCGGGCACATCCCCAGTTGGAGGTGTGCAGGAGGCAGCTGATCCGTTTCTCTCTCATCGATGTTTCTAACTCTCTATCCCTCTCCCTTCCTCTCTATAAAAAATCAATAAAATATATTTAAAAAAAAGAAAGGGGAATATCTGGCTAAAAATCAGAAACTCTATAAAAACTATTTTGATGATTTTCTATCTAATGGGTGGAAATGAAAATGCTTACTGACACAGTAGCCTGCACTTGTTGTCCACAGAGTTGCCAATAGGCCTCTGAAATGATTTGTAATGCCTTTGCAACAGAAAAAAATTTCTGCAGCTATCTACAGCATCAGAGCACTATTCTTCCATGTCAGGAAAAACAGCAAGTTCAGTCCAATCTTAAAGTCCCAGGACAAGATGCATTTTTGCCTCCAGAGGGCACTGCTGTTTTCACAAAAGAAGGAAGTCTGGCTGGGGCTTTTGCTTTCTCTGGTGTTGCACTTTTTTCATTTTTCTTTTAGGTCAGGCTTTATAGGCGTAGGAATACACTTGAGGGGTGTGTGTCAGTGTATATAACTCCAAAGAAATCAGAAACAAGGAGCATATTGCCCACAATACAATCTGTTCAATTTTAATAATACCAATAGCAACAAAAGTCTTCCCAACTTTCCATCACTGGTACCTACCGAGTTCTTTTCCCTGCATGGGCAACATGAAGAAATGGACTCTCTATCCAATTGCCCGCTCAGCCCACTGTAGGGGGTTCCTGCCTCACCCCCAGTACTCCTCTGCTCATCAGTGTCCTCCATGAGGTTAATTAACCTCAACAGACTCTCTTCTGTATTTCATTCTTTGTGTCCCAAAACTCTGCTTTCTTAGCATCCCTTATGCCATCTTCACTTGGTTCTTTTGGTACCTTTCACTTTAGCTTTACAGGCCTTTTGCCTGGATTCACCTTCCTATCCTTACCCGACTCCCTCCAAAGTCCATGCTTTCTCTCCTAGACTCCCCAGTTCAAACACAGATATACCACTTATCCACTCAAGTCAGAAATCTAGAATCTTCTCTTCTGTCCCATAAACAACCTATCAATTAGGTCTAAACACCTAAGTCACTTATGCGCCTATCCTTCTTGCCTATTGACCACTTCACTTCAGGGCCTCAGGGCCTCTTGCCTGAGCTATGTCAACACAGTCTCTTTAAAAATTTAAATATATTTAATTTTACATTTTATTGTTTGGATAGGTATTATGTTTCCTGGTTCAAATTTAGAAGTGTGAAAGGCTCCCTCCTACCCCTAACTGCAGAATCAGAAAGTCTATGCAGTTGTAATTCTGCTAGTATTGCCAAATTGCTTCCCATAAGGATTGACCCATTCCCAGTCTTACCAGCCATGTGCAAAAACGTTCTCTCTGGCTTCTCTGCCTTCATTCGTCCCTGCTTGGAAATGTGTCCTCCACATGGTTGTCAACACCATCTTTCTAAAATGCACATCTGACAACCCTTCTGTTTCTTCCCACTGATCTTCGTGCCTTTCACGGTCTAGACCTGTGTTGTATGCCCAGTGTGGACCATTAGCCACATGCGGCTCTTGAGCTCCTGAAGTGTGGCTAGTCCCAACTGAGGTGTGATGTAAATGTGAGATAAACACTGGATCACAAAGACTCAGAATGACAGAAAGGATGTAAAATATCTCATAAGCCAGTCAGATAAAGACAAGTATCACACAATCTCACTCACATGTAGAATCTAAAGGACAAAATAAACATGAACAGAATAGATCCAGAGACATAGAAACATGGAACTGACTGATGAATCTCAGAGGGAAGGTGGCGGTGGATGGGAAGAGATTAACCGAAGAACTTGTATGCATATATGCATAACCCATGGACACAGAGGATGGTGTGGTGAAGGCCTGGTGGGGAGGAGGGGACGGGCTAGAGTGGTTCCGTGAGGAGACAATGGGTCCATCTGTATAACTTTCAACAATCAAGATAAATCTTAAAAACGTTTTTAACATTGATTACAAGCTGATTAATTTAGGATATATATGATTACATTCAGGATATATTGAGTTAAATAACATCATTAACATTAATTTCACTTGTTTATAAAATATGGCTCATAACATTTAAAAAATTAAAATTAGATATTTGTACGTACAGCACTGATTCTAGCCCCTTCCTCCATCATGTCCCTCACCCATCTCATGGCCTCCAAGGCCCCAGTGCTCATCCGTGCCTCAGATGCACCCTAAAACCTACTCATGACCCACCACCCCCCCACCCCCACCTCTCTCTCTAAGACTTTGCTTCAAATCTCCTCCTGGAGGCCTTCAAGAGATTTGCTTCACAAGTCCCCCTCCCTTTACCGGCCCGAGGGCATGCATGCTCATCTTTACTCTCAAGGGCACAGGGCGGCGCCGAGTTCATACTGTTGGTCAAGGCAAGGAATGAGGAGAGTCAGCCTAAAAGGATAAAGTTGGAGGGAGGGAACTGGTGCTATGTCATAACGCAAGTGAACGATTTATTTTTTTTTTTTAATGCAGGTATTAATCTGAACTCAGAACGGGAATGACATTTTGGCTGCACATAATAGTAAGAGTAACAACAGTGAGAGTTGAGAGGAATCACAAGCTCTGGAGAAACTTTCTTTGACTTCAGCACCTGACCAGTCTCACCCTCGCGTGGCCGGCCTGCCCCCCCACCCCAACCCCCACGCCCCCTCTCCCCGCGCCGCCCGCTCGCCGCCGCCCGCGCCCGCAGGAGAGGCTGCCGGTCCCCATCGCCCGGTCCCCACCGCCCGGGGGACGCGGGACGGAACTACTCACTGCGCTGGGCCGCGAAGGGAAGGGAAGGCTGCGAGGTGAGGAGGGGAGCGGCTGTGCGGGAGCGGGAACAGGGAGGGACTTCGCGGAAAGCGAAACTGAAACTTTGCCGCGGGGCGGCGGGGCGGGGGCGGGACGCACTCCCCCCCTTCACCCCCCGCCTCAGTCCAGGCCCCGCACCGCCCGGAGCCGCCGCGCACCCGACGCCCGCCCGCAGCCATGGCCTCCTCGAACCCCAGCCCGCCCTCCCCGCTGCTGGTGCGGGTGTCCGAGCCCGGCCTGAACTTACGTCGGAAGCTGGAAGGCTACTTCCAGAGCCGGCAGTCGCGCGGCGGGGAGTGCACCATCCGAGACCTGGGCGATGGCGCCTTCCGGGTGGAGTTCTTGGACCGGGCAGGTGAGCCGCAGGCCTGGGGCTGCGGGTGCAGAGGCCGTCCCCGGGGCCCAGCCTCACGGGGTTCCAGGCGGACCCAGAGCGAGCCGACAAGGGGAAAGGGCGGGAGAAAGCATGGCACAGTCTCGGGGTGGGGGGTGGGGATGGGGGGAATTGGGGTCTCTTGCTGCCAAGCGACCAGCCCACGCGAGGATAGCGCCCAGAGGTGCCCGGTCGCTGATCTGGCCCGACTGCACCTTACCCTTGACACCTCCCAGCATCCTGGCCCTGACTCATCTTTCTCAGCTCTAACACCCTGCAGTCCCCCATAGGGCTGTGGCTCCTCGCCATTTAGATATTCCACTTTTTTTTAAAAAAATATATTTTATTGATTTTTTACAGAGAGGAAGGGAGAGAGACAGAGAGCCAGAAACATCGATGAGAGAGAAACATCGATCAGCCGCCTCCTGCACATCTCCCACTGGGGATGTGCCCGCAACCCAGGTACATGCCCTTGACCGGAATCGAACCTGGGACCTTTCAGTCCGCAGGCCGACGCTCTATCCACTGAGCCAAACCGGTTTCGGCTAGATATTCCACTTTTATGTTTTAAATAATTACTCCATTGATTTATGTTTGAGGATTACAAAAATAACATATGCCCACCGTAGAAAAGACAGAAAGAAAAGAATAAAGAGCAACACCTGGAGATAAGCAATGTGAACATTTTGGTGTATTTCTTCCAGCCTTTTTCTATAAATGTCAGTACACACATGTATATTTACAAAATTCTGAGTCTGCACTGCTGACTCCCTGTTGTTGTTTTCAATCCACTTTATGTGAGTACTATGCCATCTGATTGAAAAAGGAACCCGAGACAGTTTCAGAGACATGACTTGTCACGAGTTGTCAATGTTTTATTATCCTTGAGCTTTCATTTGTGCAAGAAAATTGAAGCTGCCCATGTGAGAGTTTTGAATAGTTCCCTCACATTCCCTAACATAAACACCCTCCCCGCAAGTAGGGAGCAGCCCTCACTGGGAGGGTGCTTGGGTGGGATACAGGTGCCTGAATAGAGGATTGTTTGACATCACTCCCTTCTTTCTGTGTATGTGTGTGTTTAATGTCTCCACTGAAGCTAAGAAGGGAGTGTTGGAAAAAGGAGAGCACCAAATTACGGTTGACGACAAACTTGTGACTATTTTCCTGGAACGCACTGAAAATTCAGTAGAGAAGAATGGAATGTCTCAAGTGCAAACACAATCACAAGAAGGGGCAAGGTCTGGTGAGAAGCATCCGAATGAAGAACATATTCCTAATTCTGTGGATTCCTGTGTCCAAAAGGTGAGTATTGAAAGGAGGTAGGTGTGTATTTGCAACTTCCTCTCCAGTCACCATATATTTCATTATTGTCTCAAAATGGCTGAGCACTTACTATGAGCCAGGCACTGTTTCAGGCACTGGGATCCAGAGGACAACAAGTCCCTGCTGGGGGGGGGGCGGGGGGGGGCTACATAAAAGGACAATAAGCAAGTAAACCAAATAAAGAAGACAATTTTTTTTTCTTAAATTTTAACATATTTTATTGGTATTTTACAGAGAGGAAGGGAGAGAGATAGCTAGAAACATCGATGAGAGAGAAACATCAATCAGCTGCCTCCTGCACATCTCCTACTGGGGATGTGCCCGCAACTGAGGTACATACATACCCTTGACCGGAATTGAACCTGGGACCTTTCAGTCTGCAGGCTGACGCTCTATCCACTGAGCCAAACCGGTTTCAGCAAGAAGACAATTTTTGATGGTAATATATGCCAGGACAAGGAAGGGGAAGGAGGTCTTGCTATTTCTGACCAGGAGTCAGAGACAAAGTCTCTGAGGTGACATTTGGCCTGAGACTTGAATGAGAAGGAGCTAGCCATGCCAAGAGTCATTTGACAAATCAATATCAACTGCCTACAGTGTGCCAGGCACTGTCACAGAAGCTGGGGACACAGCCAGCTACATAGCAGACCCTGTCCTCAGGGACCTTACATTCTAATGAGGGATACAGATCCTAATAGTAAACAAATTTTCCTATATAATAAAAGGCTAATATGCACATTGTCCCCTCGGAAGTTCGACTGCCTGCTATGACGTGAACTGACCACCAGGGGGTAGTGTGGAACAAACAAAGGCCCTGATCACCAGTCAGGCCTGGGGACCCTACCCGTGCTCAAATTTCATGCACCAGGCCTCTAGTAGATTTATATTAAAACTAGAGGCCCGGTACATGAAATTTGTGCATGGGGTGGGGGGTTCCCTCAGCCCGGCCTGCACGATCTGGGACCCCTTGGGTAGTGTCCCTAGGCCTGGCTAGCGGTCAGGGTCTTCGGGGCTTTCCTTCCCTTGGCTGCCAGCAGCTGGGCTTGCCACTGCTTGCCATCTGTGCGGTGCTGTCTCCTCCCTCCCCTGCCACTGGTCGCCACCCTCTGCAGGCGACAGGCATGGAGTGCGATTGCTTGGCTGGCCTGGGCCTCCCTCTGTGGGGCGATTGCTGGCTGGCCTTGCACACCCGCCACAGCGTCGCTGGCTGGTGGCCTGGGCCTCCCTCTGTGGGGCCCCCAGATCGCGGGGCCCCCAGATTGATCTCCCTGCAGAGGGAGGACCTGCCCACCCACCGCAGCGCCGCCAGCCAGGTAGCCTGGGCCTCCCTCTTTGGAGCAATCGCTCACCCGGCTGGGGCTCTGCGATCAATCGCTGTACAGAGGGTAGCCAGGGCCTCCCTTTTTGGGGCGATTGCAGATCCACCCCACCCCCAAATTGATCGCCTTGCCTGGGCCTCCCCCTGCAGGGTGATGGTGGGGCCCCCAGACCAATCGCATCGTACCCACCTTGGCTGGCCTGGCGCCGCTGCGTGTCATAGTGTGGTCGTCTGGATGGTCTGCTGTTCGGTTGTTCAGTCGATTTGCATATTACGCTTTTATTATTATAGATGTCTGACAGTGATAAGTGCTAGGAAGAAGAATAAAGCAGGGCAAATGACAGTGCAAAGACCACTACTTTGGGATATCTCGAAAAACCTCTTGAATGAGGTAACATCTGAGTAGAGACATGCATGAAGTAAGGGAGCTAGCTAAGTGGATATTGGGGGAAGAATGTTCTAAGAGGGGAGCACAAGAACAAAGGCCTCAAGATGGGAGCTTACATCCTGAGCCCCGAAGCTTCAAGAAGGGAGGCCAGTGGGCTAGAGGGCAGTGAGCAAAGGGAGAGAGTGATATGAGAGGAACTTGGAGAGGTAACCAGAAGTCAGGTTTTTGGGGATGAAAGTAAGGACTTTGGATTTTCACTTAAATGTTAGGGGATTCATTAGATGGTTTTGAGCCAGGGAGTGGAGTGATCTGATTTATGTCTCTAAAGCAGTGGTTCTCAACCTTCTGGCCCTTTAAATACAGTTCCTCATGTTGTGACCCAGCCATAAAATTACTTTTGTTGCTGCTTCATAACTGTAATTTTGCTACTGTTATGAATCGTAATGTAAATATCTGATATGCAGGATGGTCTTAGGCGACCCCTGTGAAAAGGTCGTTTGACCCCCAAAGGGGTCGCGACCCACAGGTTGAGAACCGCTGCTCTAAAGGCTCACTTTGGCTGCTGTGTGGATAACTGATTTTTGAAAGGGGCTAGAGTGGAAGGTCGGAGCCCACTTAGGAGGAGTTGCTGTAGGCCAAGTGCAAGATGAGAATGGCTTGGACTTCAGCTGGTTCTGATCAAGGTGTAAGAAGTGGCTAGATTTAGTAAACATTTTGAAGGAAGATCTAGAAAGAGAATGGTACATGCAGAGGAAATAGCGTGTGCAAAGACCTTGAAGGGGAACAAAATATTAGGAATCTTGCTTTTTTTATTCCATTTAATTTGCCTATATATTTTTTAGCCTAAGTGTTATGCTTGCCTTATACTTGAGCTACTAAAGGCTAGGGTTTAGAGGACTCAACATTGCATGCACTTAGGTGTTTAGTTAAAAAAAAAAAAAAAAAAAAGGAGGGGGTTGAAGACTAGAAAAACCAGTAAGAAGAAAAAATATCCTCAGATTTATGGGTCCCTTCTTGGCTTACAGACTCTTTTGTGAGAACCACAGCAGCTTGCCTGAAAAGACAAAGTGCCTTCCCTCCATCAAACAGATAGTGGCAGAATCCAGATTGCTTGTCCACAGAGCCTTTAAAATACGCTCATGTCTAGGCTCTACATTTACATCAGAATCTCTGGAGATGTGCCTAGGCCAGGCCCGTTTGAAATGAATAAAACTAAAAAGAAAAAAAAAAAAGACCGTACCCTTTTATGTAATGATGTTTACTTTGAATTTATATTAGTTCACACAAACACTCCATCCATGCTATTGTTCCGGCCCTCCGGTCCAGTTTAAGAACCCATTGTGGCCCTCGAGTCAAAAAGTTTGCCCACCCCTGGCCTAGGCCTTGTTTTTTTGTGTTGCCCCCCCCCCCCCCTTTTTTAAGTTCCCAGGTGGTTCTAAATATGCAGACAGGGCTGAGCATCTCTGACTGGGCTATACATAGCTCCATCCTCTGTGAAAAGGATTTGAAAGAACAAATCTAAGGGAGGACATAGTAGTTATTTCTCTAGTCTTTAGACATTCTCCTTAGAAGAGACTGTAGGCCTGGATGTCTGAAAGATTTCATTTGTTCCTTTTAAATTTTCAGATCTTCCTTAGTGTCACAGCTGATCTGAACTGTAGCCTGTTCTCTAAAGAGCAGAGGGAACACATAACCACTCTTTGCCCCAATGTGAGGAAAATGGAGGGCTCCGATGGAATTGAGAAGGTGTGTGGTGACTTCAGAGATATTGAAAAAATACATGGCTTCTTGAGTGAGCAACTCCTAAAAAGTGAGCAGAAACAGGAATCAGCCCCATTGACAACAGAGAAGGAGCCACTCCATCAGCAGGACCTGAAGAGCCGTGTTTCTCCCTCTGAACCAAGAACGAAGTCAGAAGGAAAAGGCAGTTACACAGTTCCCTTGCCTTTATTTGAATACTTCAAAAATACCTACCCTGAAAAAATAAACTCGATAGAGAAAAGATTTGGTGTAAAAATAAAAAGCCAGGAGAGTTCTCCGAATATGGTCTCCGTATACTTCACCTCAAGTCAATCAGGTGACCTCAGAGCAGCCGAAGAGACTTTTGTCAGTGAATTTCAGAAAAGCATAGGAAATATGGAGCAGGAATGTGTTGCATTAGCAGACAAGAAGCAGGCAAATAACGTCAATCAGGGATTTTATCACCAACTTAAAAAGTTTTTTATAAAGGAGAACGAAAGAGAATTACCTCTCCCTGGGACCCAAGATGACATTACAGCAGCCGGACATTTTCTTGCCCCCCAAATCTCTGAAAGTCTTGTCAAGGTACCTGTGAAAATATTGCCTCCTGCATGCATGATGAATGGAATTGAGGTTGACACGGCTCACTATAAGTTTTTAGAAGCTGAATTACTCCAGGAGATATCAGAGATAGAAAAAAAGTACAACACTCAAAGTAAGATTTTGGGGAAAGGTGATAAAACCTGCATTCTATTTGAACCTAAGGACAAGGAGGTAGATCTGTCTGTGCATGCTTATGCAAGTTTCGTTGATGCCTATCAGCATGTTTCTTGTCAGCTGATGAGAGAAGTTGTTCCTTTGGCCAAGGAGAGAAAGGACTTATATGGGATCAAGTTTGCTGATAACTTTAAAAAAAGGCATCCAGGTGTAGACTTTGTGCTAACTCAAGGATCGGTTACTTTTATTGGATTGCCAAATCACATCGCAAAGGCAAAACAATATGTCTTAAAAACAGGGGGCATGTCCCCATTAGCTGGAGAGAAATCCAATGAGGATCATGAAACACCCATGGACGTTGATAGTAATGATTCAGAAACATTTTTACCAACATCCCAGCGCTCTGCCAGTTCTGGGGCATCAGGAATGAACAAGGAAGAGGATATGTGTGCCATCTGTATGGAGCCCATTAATAACAAGCTGGTGCTACCAAAGTGCAAGCACGAATTCTGCAACCCTTGTATCACCGAAGCCATGAGATATAAGCCAGTCTGTCCTGTGTGCCAGACTGTTTATGGTGTCCAGAAAGGGAACCAGCCAGAGGGAACGATGTCTGTCAATTATGTAAGACATTCACTTCCAGGTTATGAAAACTATGGCTCCATCGTGATTAATTACAATATGACAGGAGGCATACAAACAGTAAGTGTGTCTGAGATCCCTGTGTTTCTTTCCAGTGTGCTAGGATGACCAATGCAAAAGAGACTGCTGTTGCCAATTAGTGGATTTCCCAGGGACTTATTTCTATGGTCATATTTCTAAGGCTTTAAGTAGTGATGAAGTTAACAGTGTTAGCTTAGAACTTACCTTTTGTGTCTGTTAAGGGAGAGGAAGGGTGGGTGGTGATTATGTGTTAGGGTGGATGGTATTCCCAGCATGAATTTAGGGAAAGAGGAGAAATATGAATTATTGGGAATATGAGCAAAATTTGTATACTTTTTTTGATTTACTCTATCTGCAAATGAACACATCTATCCTGTACAGTAAAATTTAGAGTCGTGAGTGTTTTCACGTGACATTGTTTTGTCTTCACACAGGAAGAGCACCCAAACCCAGGAAAGCCATATTCTGGAACAAAGCGAACTGCATTCTTGCCTAATAACAAGGAAGGAAAAGAGGTTTTGACACTGCTTCAAAAGGCCTTTGACCAAAAGCTAATTTTCACAGTGGGGGATTCTCGAGTTTCAGGAATGTCAGACGTCATTACATGGAATGATATCCACCACAAAACCTCCATGATCGGGGGACCAGAAATGTGAGAACATTTTGAAATACAATGATTGCCAAACAGAGTTTAGAGGTTGTAAGCTATGGCAATTTGAGGATATGGCTGTAAGGGACTATTTATAGAAGTGGGATTGGATACAGTATTTTGAGAGATGTTAATCTCAAAGGCAGAAAGATTGGTTCCCATCACCTTCTAACTGTATGATACCACAAAGTATCATACTTCGAAAGGCAGGGGTCTTCAGAATCCAAGATCAGTGATATCTCAGATGACTTGATTTTAGGTTTCCTGTTTATTTGAAGGGTAGATCCTAGGAATGTTATTTACTTTGCCTTCTTTTAAGATCATCCTTAACCCCCTGCTCCCATCGGTCCATAGAGATTCTTAATTTACTTGGCTAATAGTACCCTAGAAAAGTTCTTATTTAATGTTGTGAAAGTTGTATTGTAGGCAACCCAATTGTTCTTAGTGAAATTCAGATAGAATATCTCAGATCCTTAATATTCAAAAGGGTCCTGAGATTTTTGCAAATTCTCCAAATTTGAAAATCCTCCAGTAGCATATATACCATATATATATATCTACATATACATACATACATATATATATGTATTTATATAATAAAATATATACTACACTATATTTTTATATGTAACAGTTTTTTAATATATTTTATATTTTTTATATATTTATAGTATAGTATAACTTTATTAGAGTCACAGCTTACCACAAGCTGAAAATGAAAAGTCTTGTTGGGAGGCAGATCCTAGACCAGTGATGGTGAACCCATGACACGCGTGTCAGAGATGACACACGAACTCATTTTTTTGGTTGATTTTTCTTTGTTAAATGGCATTTAAATATATAAAATAAATATCAAAAATATAAGTCTTTGTTTTACTATGGTTGCAAATATCAAAAAATTTCTATATGTGACACGGCACCAGAGTTAAGTTAGGGTTTTTCAAAATGCTGACACGCCGAGCTCAAAAGGTTCGCCATCACTGTCCTAGACAGACAGCTAGGCTCACTCACTAGCTGAGTGACTCACATCTGCACACTTATAAGTGATTAAATTCATCTGCCTCCAGGATTGCTTGTTAATGTTTGCAACACAATATTAATGCCAGGGACCTGCTATACAGAATCTTTAAAACCATGTGTGAAACTAAGGGGCTTTTCCTTCTGCAGGTATGGTTATCCTGATCCTAATTATCTGAAACGTGTCAAGCAGGAGCTGAAAGATAAAGGAATTGAGTAAGAAGACTGCTGGAAGGATATTTTGAGCCAAGCGTTCCAAAGACAGTTGAAAAGGCAGAGTAAATACCAATCTAAATCTTAATGTAGAAACAACCTTTAAAAATACTCATCTCAAGGGGATTCATGTAAGAGTAAGAATCTGATAGTCTGTTATTTCTGGAGTGTCACTTTTTATAGAAGATAAAAGCCCCAAAGATCTATGTGATTTTTGCTGCAGAGGTGTTGTGTCTCATTCTTGGGTCATTGTTGGGGGAAATGGACTGCTCTGGGTCTGAAATCATATTCTGTGCTCTTCAGTTGAAATACTAGCTGCCAATTGATCCTTTTTAAATTACCATCTCTGGGTGGTCCTTTAGTTTTTGATTGTTGGTTGGTTGGCTAGCCCTTTAAGTACCCTAAAGGTAATATCCTAGTGTGAATGGGGGAGGGGAGAAGCTTTGGTTAAAGAAAATTAAGACACATTTCCCTCCCTGATGGCCAGAAAAGTGGCCAGGAGCAAAGATTGGGCAACCTTTGCTAATAAATAGTATAAGGCTATTATTTTTCACTAGAGGCCCAGTGCACGAAATTTGTGCACTTGGGGGGGGTCCCCTCAGCCCAGCCTGCACCCTCTCCAATATGGGACCCCTCTCACAATCCAGGACTGCTGGCTCCCAACCACACGCCTGCCTGCCTGCCTGATTGCCCCTAACCACTTCTACCTGCCAGCCTGATCACCCCATAACCACTCCCCTGCCAGCCTGATCGACACCTAACTGCTCTCCTGCTGGCCCAATTGCCCCCAACTGCCCTCCCCTGCCGACTTGGTCACCCCTAACTGCCCTCCCCTGCTGGTCTGGTCACCCTCGACTGCCCTCCCCTGCTGGCCATCTTGTGGCACCCATCTTGTGATGACACGGGGGAGGCCATCTTGTGTGAGGGTTTGATGGTCAATTTGCATATTATCTCCTTATTATATAGGATGATACAGAGCCTGGTATATACAGTTGGTGGATAATATAGTCTTGTTGCCTGACTCAGGATGCTAATACCCCAGCAGAGGGATATATGCTCCCGAAATCTTTAGCAGAGGCAGGAGTAAGGAAGTCCTTTCTGGAGTCCTTACCACTGATTTGGAAAACTGAGTTTCTTATCTGGTTACCCACATCCCAGCCTCTCTCTGAAAATGATGAACAAGATGTCTTTTTCTTTTCCGAAAGATACACATACACACACATATATTTTTGGTTAGAGGGTAATAGTTAATATTTATTGTGGACTTATTTTGTCCCCTTTATAAGATCTTTATATCTGTGTGATTGATACTATTAGTATCCCTATTTTATAACTGAGAAAACTGATGAAAAGAAAGGATACCTTAACAAAGGTTACATAGTTAATACGTAGAAGTGCTGGGATTTGAAGGAGATAGTCTGGCTGTAAGGCTTCTACACCCCAGCGCTATACTGCCTCCCATAGGGGACTTCTCCATGGAGCGACTGAGGAGTTCCTGTTATTCTGGTCTTCTCTCAAAAATACATTCCGCCCTAACTGGTTTAGCTCAGTGGATAGAGCGTCGGCCTGCGGACTGAAAGGTCCCAGGTTCGATTCCAATTAAGGGCATGTACCTTGGTTGCGGGCACATCCCTAGTAGGAGGTGTGCAGGAGGCAGCTGATCGATGTTTCTCTCCCATCAATGTTTCTGACTCTCTGTCCCTCTCCTTTCCTCTCTGTAAAAAATCAATAAAATGTATTAAAACAAAACAAAACATTCCTACACGTTGCTCATAGCACATTTCCTCCAAAGAAGTCCTATTTGAAGAACTTAAAAACCCAGAATCTTTTCCTTTATCTAGAGAGTTGAGGAAGCTTAAACGAAATGATAGGCCTTTAAAAATATTAGATGATGCATTTAATTTTTGATTATTCATTAAAGTCTTCACCATTGTGAGTAGTTATTTTGTAGCTATTAAACTTTTAGCTAAATTTGCTCCAAAAAACCAAAAGTTTGGTTCCGCTTAGGTCTAGATTCTTGATTACAATGTAGTGTGTGCATAGGCAGTTTAATGGTGTGAGTGGTTGGTGAGCCTTTAGATTGTTGCGTTTGCTCTGTGTGAGGTATTATTGGCTGTATCTGCTTTAAATAAAGTTAAATATTAGGAACAGATGGTCTGTGTTCTTTCCCTACTCCTTTTTTATTTTTCCTTAGGTTGAGATTCTGGTGGTTTCCTACAACACATACAGTGTACAACAAAACTACTTTTGACTCCATTGCTGTCATTTTCAGCTGTGAAAAATCACAATTCTTAATAGTTTTCCTCCTTAACACAGAGTACTACAAAGGTAAAAGTAGGCTGCAGTTTCATCTCTTCTCTCCTTCCCACGTCCCCATCCCTTGGATTCAACTAATTTACTAGAGTGACTCGCAGAATTCAGGAAACCAATTTACTCCTTAGATTATCTGTGTATTACAAAAGGATAAAACTCAGAAATGACTGACCAGATGGAAGAGATGCACAGGGCAAGGCATGTAGGAAAGAGGATGGAGCTTCCCTGCCATCTGAACTACAAAGACATGGTTGATTAAACTTCATTTCCAGCTCCTCTCTCCTCCCTAGATGTCAGGGAGTGGGACTGAAAGTTCCAACCCTCTAATCATGTGGTTGGCTCCTCTGGTAACCAGACCCCATTTTTAGTCACCTTGATGGGGAGCATAAGACATTTTTGGGGGCTAGCAATCTGAATTTGTTCCAGTAACCTGCCTTCTACTGCACACTCTTGCTAGCCGATAAGTAACTCCATTTGTGAAAGAATGTAGACTAGCAGATGGACTCTGTACCTAGTTAATCAGTATCCCTAATGCACATTCCTGATAGCCTATAATGAAGTCACTGCCCCATCCTTAATTATCTGGTCTTGCAAGACCTATTTACCTAAATACTTCCAATTTACAAGGATGTAACAGGTTACATAAACCAAAGATGTAACAGCTTAACTAGAGGGAGGTCACTGGCGCCATCCAGGATGGACATTAGCTACAGTCTAAGTTACCATCTAACTGACGCGAGGGGAGCTGTGCGAGTCCACTACAGAAGCTTGGCAGTTAGGAAACAAGAAACTCAGAAATATATACGGAGAAAATCTCACTGTCTAAGTGGTTCAGGATCTGGATTTTAAGTCCCCTGAACTGGCAGCGCGGCTTTGAATAAAGGCTCACTTTCCTGAACCTCTGAGTGTACAACTGGCCCTTCTTCTGAGCCAATTCCATAACAACCTCATTATAACAAGTCACCTCATTAACATAAAATACATCTTTATGGGCTCTCAGCTTTCGGGAAATTCCAAGGATTTTAGGTCTGTGCCACAAACTGGGACAAATACCAAATACATATGATAAATTTCCTATTATAAGTTACAACATCACAGATAGCATCAAAGCAATCAGCAGAAAAATCAAACCTTTGTGCTACTTCTTACATTTATCTTGGGATGTAATACTGGTATTGCTTTGATTGCCATATGGGTGTTGGGTACCATTTTCTTTTCTATTGATTGGGTTCTGAGTCCTCCAAAACAGATCCTTAGGCAAAAATCAAGATGCTAGCAACTTGTTTGGGAGGTGCAAACCCACGTCAGTGAAAGAAGGACAAACAAAAAGGGAAGTGAGGCCAAATAAGATGTGATACAGTGCAATGCCATGGGTTATCATTCCAACCACTGCCTTGAAAAGGCAGCAGATCACTCCACAGCTTTATTTGCTTGGCATAGGAGTCGAAAAGGACTGCAGAAATGATGTTGAAATGCCTGATTTTATAGAGGAGGACACGTAGTTTCAGTTCCTGGGAAAACAACAGGTAATATAAAATATATCACAGTAATAGTACATTGATATATAGTCTTAGTGGTACCTTTGGCTTCTCCCTCTTGTCCTGCATGTCCATCATCACTAGTCCTGACTCCCCTTCACTTCAAATCTCACTACCCCATTGGCATTTTCATAGTTCTCTTACCAGAATGATTAAAATACCCACATAAAACTCTCTCTGTCCCCAACTCTCTTCCTCCTCTTACTGCAAACTATTTTTTGAGAAAAATAGCTCTGATCTCATCACTCCTCTGATGATATGTCATTAGTGATTCTCTAATGCCCAGAGCAGTGCTTGTGAAACTTGATCTTGTGTTAGAATCATTGGAGGGTTCAATAAAATGCAGATTGCTAAGACCTATCCCCAGAGTTTCTGACCCAGTAGGTGTGAAGTTGGGGCCATGAATTTGCATTTCTAACAAGTTTCAACTGCTGCTGCTGCTGGTGGTTTTCAGTCCACATTTTTGGGGACCACTGGCCTAGAAACTCCCCAGCATGGCCATCAGGAGTTTCTCATTCTGCTTTGCTTAGCTCATGTCCCTTCCTCCTCACCAAGTTCCTACAGTCTAGTCACACCAGACCACCAGCTTTTCCAAATCATAGTCCATACATTTATTATTATGGCCTTTGCTCTATGCATTCTCTCTCTAGAATGCCTCTCCACCTCATTCTTCTTTTAGGAATCTCCTACTCATCATATAAAGTCTCAAATGCCACTACTGCAGAAACTCATTCAATCTTGTCTCCAAACTGTGAATCACATAATTCCCTGCGTTTCTAATTATATATATATATATATATATATATATATATATATATATATATATTTTAATGTTGTGAATCCTGAGAAAGAAGATATCCACTAAAAAGAGCCGCTAGTGGCTAATTGTGCTCAAATTAAAAACAAACAAATAAAAACAGCCTAGCAGCCATTTTTACACGGGAAACTCTCATGTAAATTGCACTTCAGGGAAAAACCTGCACTGAATTACCTGCCTCTGCCCTGAACTGCCTGCCTGTATGGTGTTTCTGCCATCTCAGCCAGCCCTTATAAAGGAATTCGTTTTTCTTTTTTTTTTTCTTTGTTGAGAACTTAAAAAATTTATTATTTTAGCAACTTTCAAATGTACATATAGCATTTTTAACTATAATTACAATGCTGTACATTATATACTCAGAACTGAATCAAATAACATTTCTTTTTTATATACTTTAAAATAGTTTATTAGAAACTATTTTGTTATGTATCCAATCTGAGTTGCTTTTTCAAAAAACGACTTTAAGATAATTGTAGTTTCACATGTAGTTGTTAGAAATAAAACATCATACATAACTATAATCCAATATCATGATCAGGAAATTTATATTGATA